GACTAACTATAAATCAGTATTAATTGAAAAACGTTAAATACATTTGAATTATAAGAAAATTAAGAATAATCTTAACCCTCCATCAGGAGCTTTTAAGTCCACCCTATGTTATTTTTATGTTCTAGACTTGGAAAAAAAAAAAAAAAAAAAATGAGTTACTCGACATCTCTACTACAATATCCAACAGGTTTTAAAGCCAAATATAAAACCCAATTGTTTATACAAAGTGAAATTTGAAATGGGGAAAAATGGAAATTTGTTTAAAAATTTATAACTTTGCAACGAATGAATGTTAACAAAAATGTTTGCAGGATTTTGGTACTTTAGACTATGACTTTTCAAAAGAACGTAGTCTCATTTAGGTCGACTCCAAAAATTATAATTTTGTTTTAACAAATAAAAATAATGAAATTTTAGAGGGGTTTATTCATAAATTAAATACAGAGAAAAATAAAGTTTAACTTAACTCTTAGTTTAGTTTAGTTTAGTTTAGCTCCAAAACTTTTAATTTAGTTAAGTTTAAGTTTAACTTTCTTTCACTTCGAAATAAATTTTTATTGTAAAAATTGTTAGTATACATATATTATTTCAAATATAAAAAAAAAATTATAAATAAAAAGTAAAAAAGTGTTATATTGTTAGGCGTTTCTCTTCGCCATTTTATAAATAATGCTCTACTAATAATAGAAGTGCTTTAATTAGCAAAAATTATTAGAAATATAGTGAAAAAAAAAAAAACGAAAAAACATTTACTTACGCTGGTAAACCCTAACGTCATCCGCTTTCTGGATCGTTTAGGACACAAACTTTATTTAGTTGTTGTTTGAACATGTATTGACAGAAACCGGCCGCGGCGTCGCTCGGCAGCGAAACCCTTCTGCTGTCAACTTTTTTTAAGGGGGGGATACCAAATATCGCCTCCTTCTCTCCACGAAGAAATGCAAGAAAGAAATTTTGCTTGGGTATTTAAAGCCACAGATTGCTGACAGAGGATTTATATAAAATTAGATTTATTTAAATCAATCATTGAAAATGTGTTGTGCACCTTCTGGATGATCATTCCGGATAATAGGTTCTACTAGTGCGAATCAATTGTTTATCATCGTGACATCGTGCTAAATCGTGACAACGAGTGAAAACAGATGATTACAACGGCGCAGTAGTCGATATTATTATATCGAAAGTATATGACATACGCGCTGTCTCGTGTTTCCGCAATGGTAGAGGGCTTAAATAATGGTGCACCGGGAGCACGCGTTGCACAAAATCGCACGAACCGGTGGAGAGGGGGACGTAATTCAAACATTTGCTTTTGTTTTCGTTGTGTGAAACGGCAACATGGAACGAGACTCGTCTCGTGCATTAGAAACGGTCGTAATTACTGTTCGATGTACCGCTCGAGCAACACTTCATCAATGCCAGTGTAACTTCGCTCAATCGTAAAATGCATTCGTGAAGTCGATCGCATTTATAATCTCGTTGTCGATCCTAATTTCATTACCGTACTCGCGATTCTATTTGCGCCACGAATAAATTGGAAGTCGCGATACGTCTCCCATGAGAAACGGCGATTGGAAAATTCTCCTTCCACCAGTTCCATCTCTCGGTGGTCTACAACTACAACGCTCCGGTGTATTACGCCTTTGCGGCGAAATTCCGGATTATACGTTCTTCTGCCTGACAGTACACCACCACCGCCACCGGTCATAGAACACTACGAGTTGGACGACCAAGAAAAGGCGGGGATATCCTTTCTATTCCCAATGTGTCGCAAAATGCGCGGAAAGCTTTATAAGAAAAAGAATCGTACTATTATTTCTCGAGTATTTCCGAAAAACACGGAGATGCGTATACCAAAACACAGTACTACGCGATTAATATATATATATATATATCAGTAAAAGTAAATTAGAAACTAAAACTAAAAAGCCAGTTATTTTCACTCATGTGTTTTTCAGGGGAATATGAAAATGTAAAAATGCGAGATGAAAAATTTTTAAAAATTCGCAAAAGGGAAAATAAGAATTCAAGGGGTCAGTGGGGTAATTTGCATTTATAACGTGCAATAATAATTTCCGCGTCGTGCTTACGATTTCCTGTCTAATATAACTTATTGTTAGAGTAACCTGGCTTCTCTTATGCTCGAGCAGTTGCACTCTTCGCCCTCCATACATGCCACAAGCAGCTTGATAACGACCAGGCTCTTTAATGCACGCCCCGCGCATCAGCCGCAGCGACCGGTTATCATTTCTTCGTAGCAAAACAAAAAAAATTAACTAGGTCATTCCGTTCGAATTGACGCGAACGAAATTGAATATGATCAGCACAAACAGCATATCGCTCGCTCTCTCTTTATCTCTCTCTCCCTTTCTTTCTCTCTGTGACGCGCCCCCATCGTTATCCTGTCGGCCGTCACGCATAATACTCAGCGACCAGCTCAAAATTCAATTTACATATTCATGACAATTCATTTGTACACCATGGCACGGTATGACCCTCCCCTTGGAGAAGGTCTTATTAATTCCCTGGCATGTGCCTCGCTAAATTCTCGAGTCGAGGTATAAAGAAGAAGAGGAATAAAGAAACCAACCCCATTTGAAGGAGGGTGCGAAATCTATTTTCGATATACGGATTCGTATAAAGTTCTATACAGCGTGTCCGTAAAATAGCGTCAACTAGTCGTGTAATTACAAAATTCTCGAGGGAATTTGCAATCGATCTCTCCACAGACGATTTAAGATCTTCTCTCTTTGCTCTTTAACTTCCAGTTTTAGTTTTCGACGTACCGATAATTAAACATCAAAATAATTTCTATTGAAGTGAAATCCACTCCGTATTAAATAGAAAAATAACATTTCTAATTGCTCCATATTAATAGAAATGAAATCCACTCCATATTAATAGAAAAGTAACATTTCTAATTGCTTAATTATACTTATGAAGTTTAATTTATTAAATTATTAATTTATATTCTTAACTTTTTCAATGTGAACACCAAATACAAATTGTAAAGTAAACTTTCATTTATGGCACACTGTATATACTATAGCACATATGTATATGTGTATCATATTATATCTATATAGGTAGCGTACACACGCGCGTACACACATGAAAGCATACAATGCGAGCGTATATCTATATAGTCGATTGCAAGATTCTCTGCGTGGATTTCGCTTATCGACTGCTATTTCCTCGGTTCCGTAGAAATATAGAGGATATTCTCACCACACGACGTATATTTGATAACCATGAGAAATCGATATAAAAAATATTTATTCCAATGTGTCAATATCATAATCCTAATATCTATGCGAGAAGTTCTTTCGGTCGCAAAAATTATTGATTTTTATTAGCGTTCTATTTCTTTACAATGCCTTTCAAGACAGTCACTTCTTCACGAAAAAAAATATTTATTCTTCCTTGATTAAAATAATTTCTCCACCTGCTTTTTTTTATATAATTTACGAAGTCGTTTTGTGTAAATTCCATAATTTTATAATATAAATCTATAATTCTTCAGATCTTTATTAGATTTGAAGAATCTCGGGAAATTAAGAGAAAAGAAATTCAAGAGAAAATGAGAGAGAAAGAGAGAAAGAGAGAGAAAGAGAGAGAGAGAGAGAGAGAGAGAGAGGGAGAGAGCTGGCAAAAGCAATGCTTGTTGAAATCATTGCTGCCAATTCGTAAGACCGCTGAAATATTATTGCCGTTACCCATGCAAATCTATCTTCCGAAAATCGTTATTTCACCCCGACATATGGCAACAACCACGCCGGGCGAATTCATCGGTGTTTAGAAACGCGTAAACCGCGTACAGCCGCTGTCCTGCGGCGGGATTTGGCCGTGCGCCAAAACCTCTTACAATCAATAAAATTTTGCATTATGTAAAAAAGGCCGAAGGCTGACGACGTTGTTGCGAGGCGACGAATGGGCCGAGCGGTACGCCGCAACGACGTCGTAAGGCAAAGGGGCCGGCTGGTTTAGCGTAGCCGCCGGGCGCCGGTATTCCGTCGCAAATTGTATTCGCGATTCCGCGGCGTGCCAATAAACGCCCATCTCTCGGACCCCTTATATACACATATCCCGTCGGTTTCCGTCGTGCCCAGGGGGTGGCAACGCCCGCGTCTCAGCATCCATTGACACGCGGCAACTCGAAGGTAATCCGCTAACAGCCCGCCGAGAGAGAGATGCGCTTGTCACACACGAAGACAATTAACTTCGCGTCGTAACAAGCCCGCCCGCGGCGCGAAACCGCCAGTTTCGCCGAATCCGTTGTTGCATCTGTCGCAAATATCAAGTACATCACGCTCATATTATATATACGTATATAAATTATTCGCTTCCCCGCGTGACAAAACGTTGTGTCGCAGGAAGTTTCGAATACTCGGCGAAATTGGATTTCACAAGGGGAACACTTCGACTGTTGTATAATTAAGTGAATTCGGGCACGAAAATCAAGCGGGCATTGTATCGGTCAACCGTTCGTTTTCAACAAAAGAATTATTAAAACAAAAACATTTTTTAAACATGAAGAATGTTTGCGTATCGACTGGCGTTTGTGTCCTCTGGCGTAATGCGATTAATAGCAAATGCGCAACGATTCATCTTCTAATTAGTTTTTCTTCCATTCACTAATAATGCACCATCCACCAATCAGAGAAAATAAAAAGTAATAACGTTTACCGCTGCTGCTAAAAGCTCTCATTCGTCTGGAATCGCAATCGTTCCGCGGTTATATTTCTACGTAGCGTATTACGTATGATTCAAACGCGAATCAATAACGACCTCATTAATGCAATGTTTAATGGACACCACCTGCAAAGCTTGTCTGCAAAAGTGTACGCGTGTTTTACAAATTTGTTCCAAATGCGAGTGAATGCATTGAAAGTGTACTACGTCGTCATTACGTAATAATCCCTTTGCAAAGGTTTTTCCCGTCGATATTACGCGCCGAGACTAATTTGCGAGGATAACACCTTCGTCCGTCTGATTCGCAGGTCACACGGATTATCTGAGAGGATGCATGGCCGACATAATTTACAACGGTGCCAAAGTTATAGAGTACGCCAGGTCGAGGAAGGGCCAGTCGGAGGCAACGGCTGTAACGTGGGGCTGCTCGCCGGAATTCGACGCCACGAGGAGCACGGAAGTCAGCTTTGTCGAGGACGGCGCCTTCGTCGCCATTCCGCGCCCCATTCCGCGCTCCGGCTCGAGGTATATGTATATGCCAAAAGTACCGCTTTCCGTTGTAATGTATACCACCTCCATTTATCATCGTCGCACCTACGGGACCGTAGAAAACGTAATTAAACTGTTGCGACGCAGCCGTATCACCTACATCCTGCATCATCGATAATGGTTATATCGATGCGGAGAAAAGGACGCAGCGCTGTATCAGCGCTAAGCTATTGTACCAGCGTTATTTACATAATTATCTTAATCCACTTAATTATCTTCGTCGTTATTTATACGCAGCTTTATATTTTACCCGACAATGATGTATCTTTAAAGAAATTTCAGAGATAGGTATTTTACAAATTCACGCTTGCATAAACTCGATCGAGTTTCTTTATCTTTTTTTTTCTTTTTGGTGAGGCTTATAAGACAAGTTTTAGCAGTAACTCTATCGCGCGCTATCACATAAAATAAATACGTTGGTACATGAATCCAATATCTTATGGTAATACCGCAGGAAATCCGTTTCTCTGAGGTCGACGGCGCGGCGGGGCTGCATAACTCGCATACTCTTGCACATAGCTGTATATCTACATCCAAGCCGCATTCAAGTCATCGGTCAGGGAAGGCCTTTCATGTTACGCGACTCCTATACCACTTTCGTCCCTCGAGCAGCTTTTAACGATTAAATCCAATGAGAACGTTGTTACATCCTCGAAGAGCTCTCGGTAACAACTGTTTCAATCGCGAGAGTTACGTCACTGTTAACTCTCGCAATGAGACAGACAGCGATGCTTCGTCAATGGGGAAACACTTTGATCCCTCTTTTCAGTACGGCCGGCACAAGGACTTTCGACAAGGCGAAACAGTCGATTGGCCCGAAAGCTTACAACGATAAAGCTACTTAGTGCGCCAGCAATCGTTTGTGGAATTAATACTATTCACGATATAGAGTCGTGAGTCTCATAATTTTCACTAATGAATTAATTAGTATACAATATAGTATACGTGCAACTGGAGGGCAATTTTATTTAATAATAAATTCCGTACGATAACCGTAACTTGATTATATCCTTTCTCAGCGTAGGATATAATAATAATTTAACTAATAAATAATATAATAATTATTATATTAATTATATTAATTAACATAGTAATTATAATATAATATACATTATTGTATAGTATAACTTATATTATGTTATATGTACATATTATAGATATTAATTACTTATAATTAATATAAACTATCATATTAATAATTAACATAATAATGATCGATAAATTTAGACGTAAAAACGTATAATCTAATCCATAATATACAAGTTTTTATAATCCTATAAAATTGAGAAAAAGAAGAATATATATTTATGTTACTGGAATAGAAAGCTAGTCGACAGAATGTAAATAAAAAATAGATATATGTAATATTTTTAAAAATGAATTTTCGAGGCATACAAACGCGTCGTTTTTATCTGAGCGAAGTGGACATGTGCAAGCATATTGCAAGGTCTCCCAGGAGCAAATTGTGTACATTGTGGTTTCGTGGATTCCCGCGGTATATTACAAGGAACACCTATCTCAGAATAGAACCAGGACCTCGAAAGCCTCGAAATTTAATTATAAATTAAAAACTCAGCGAAGACCAGCGATGTTTACATTGAAAAACGTACATCCACTATATAGGATGCGTAATTTCCAATAATGGCTACAGCAGAATATTAAGCGTCTTACGATCTATATTTTCACCTTTTTTTTCTTGGTTATTAATTTTCTGCAAGAAAAATGATAAACTTTCTCTATTTGCGCGAATACAGTACGAAAATGCTAAGCACGTCCGAGGAGACTAAAAACTTGGGTAAGCCAGATGTGTCCTCGCTGTGCTATCCTGCAGTGAAAATTATTCGGGAGTATACTAAGAGACGGAAAAACGGTTCATTTTCACACGAATGCGGTGTACGCCGAGTAAGCGCGGTTAATACCGACCTTCACATGCAGATAGTTAAGTCCTGGACGCATGGTTTGCCGTGTCTTGTACGTTCGCAGAAGCTCCGGCCGCGGGTACTCCGGGCTCTTTTGTTGTCCCGAATTAAAAGCACACTAGTCCGGAGTAGTACCTTAATTCAACACTTATCTGAGAAAATAAATGTTGGAACCTGTTGCGTTAATGCGGCTAAAAGCGAGACAAAAGGTCAGCCCGTTTTTTCGCGTAAATGTTTGAGAGAAACCGACTTCTCTTCTTCACATCGAACAGATACGTAGTGCATACCAGTAGATATCTCGCCGATAAACGGATAAGTAGATGGTCAAGGGGAATCGAATGGATGACTGGACAGTCGTAACTGTCTTCCTTCCGCGGCGTTCTCCGTGAAATCGACGTACTGTGAAGGTTTCGACGTGCGCTTTCTGAGTTGAATTGATCTGGAAGATTCAAGTGTCACGAGTATGCATGGTTCATACAGACGTTCGAGTAGTCTCCACTTAAATCGAGTGCACTTTTTATTTGCCGTTTAATCATTATTTAATTCATTGGTTTTCTTCCATTACGTACAAACGTGCAGAAATTGTCGTATTTAACATAAATCAAGTTATAATTTTTGTATCTCGTGCTTTTAGTGTTTTAGTTTCAATTTATATCGATGAAAATTAAAGAAATTACATAGAGAGGAGGGTCGGATGTCTTTTTGTAATTTCAACTGGAAATTTTTCCAACGGATTTAATTTTCATGCACGAGTATCGATCGTTAACGTACAAAGGAACGAACATGTTATACTGCGCTTTTGGAAGCAAAGCATCGACTGATGAGAAACGTAGAGACACAAGTGGACCGTATTAGAGTCCTTAGTGTACCTCCAGCATGGTAAACAACTAATTGCGTTTACAATTCGCACAGGTACATGTTTGCTTACAACCGTTGCGAATTGTGTTGCGCAGTAAGACATTGACTAACATATCAGGTATTTTCATTAACTCCCGGATTTAACAGAGTTAAATGATGAGCTAATTCCCGATGAGATAATCGTGATTCACAGAATTAAATTTGGCTCGGAGAACTTAATTATGATATGAGTATTCTAGTATCATATCAGATTTTTTTCCCCAACTGTTGTCGATAGAAGATAATGAAAGTGCAGAATGTAGAGGTATATCGTGATAGTGATAGCGATGAAACAAAATGAAATAAATATATTAGAAATATGTGGTATAACTTTTGTGTGGTATTAGTATTTGTAACACAAATACAACGCGCAACAGTGATTTCAAAGCCCCGGTATACATTACTATCGCGTTATTGTATATTATTGCATCCTTCTGTTATGACGATGAAAGTCTACTCCGTTTTCGTAACCACCATTGTAGCACTTCGCTGTGATGTTACTTCAAAAGCAAAGTAATGAATCCACTCGCTGAAGTAAATAATCGGCTTTCGTGTTCGCGGCAGTCTCGGGCGTCTTCCCCGCGCAAGATACGAAAATCACTCGCCCCAAAGTTTCTCCGGGTAGAAGTCGACTGGAGCGAAATTTGATTTGATTACAATTATAAATTCACAGCGAACAATCTTCTTTCCCCCCTCCCCCCTCTCCTGCTACCATCGTTTGCCTCGCTCGTTTAACTCGCTCGTGTTGCACGAATAACGTTTCGCTTGTTTATCGCGTTCTGTAGCGAGGTTTGAACACCCGTACTGTTCCGAGAACGATGATTAAACGTAGAGCAAAACATACAATTATCTTGTAGAAGCAATATTCTTGAAGATTTAAATTATTACATCTTTGAATTGTAGGATTTTCACCGCTATACTTTTATAGCTCAACTATTCTTACAGAATTTTGTGTATCTTGTTGAAATTTGGTTACAATTCGATTCGTTTTTCTTAAAGAATCTGTTACAACTTTTCAATAAAATGCAGAATCGTCCAACGATGTTACGCTTGATCGGTTGATGCATTTGCGAAAGCTTCTCGTTCGCAGTATATATATTACTTGATTGCATTAGTTGCAGCGCTTGTGAATCATACGAAAAAATCAACCGCGAAATTCTAATTCGATTGCTAAGATGTACGATAATAACGAAGTTTTCCGTTATTTGCTGCGCCGCGACCGATGCACGCACGCGCGGCTTAGGTATCAACGGCATTATCTGGAAGAGTATTCTCCATGGCCTCGTGAAGTCGTTGTGTAACGGCCGTAACATCAGACAAGTCCGATTCGGTTTGCGCAGCCCTTTCTTAAGGGGCAGTAACGAAGTTTCCTGCCAATTCCATCTTACGACTTTACAGATGGGAATTCGAGCTGAAGACCGGCGCCGACAGTGGCTTGTTGCTCTATAACACGGGGCAATCATCCTACGCCGATTACCTCGGCATCGAGCTGTTCGAGGGTAAGATTCGACTATTGATGAACAAAGGGAACGGTCCGACCGAGTTGACGCACGGCACTCCAGTAGCTGATGGCAAATGGCACAGCGTAATCGTGGATTTCAATCCAAGCGGTCTCGGTATTGCCGTCGATCGTCACGAGAAAACAATGGCTCTGCCTTCCGGCGGCAATCGGTTCCTCGACCTGGCGGACACTCTGTACATCGGCGGCACGGAGCTGAACAAACGCGCCCGGGCCCTGAGCAAGGGTCTCAGATCCGGCGACGTGAGTTACAAGGGCTGCATACGGAACATGGTCCTCGACAACCGGGACCTCGGCTTGCCGGACGTCAAGGTCAGCCAGGGTGTCGTCGTGAATTGCGTCTGGGGATATCCGTGTATCGAGGCCGATCCCTGCGTATCCGGTGCGTCGTGTATGCAACTGGGCGTCAACTCATTCAGATGCAACTGCGACCAGTCTCTGTGCATCAAGCCGAATTACGCCGAGGACTACAAGGTAGATCAATTTTAATTGAGTTTCAATGACGCTCCACCTACTTGGCGAGGGTTACGTTGCGGTTGCGAGCTAATTATGTCACCGGCAACTAGCGTATGGATTTACGGAGAGATGCATAGCTAACTTAGTCAAGATATACTGCCTATATAGATTACTCTTTAATAATCATTGCAATGTAATTAATGTGGAATATTTAATTTTATTTGCATCTCTATTGCATCGATATCAATGAAAATGAAGTTTATATAACAATCTTTATTATTAAAATAATAAACAGTTTAATAAAAGCAATACACATATATATGTTCATTATTAGAAATAGCTATGTATAGCAAAATAAATATATATAGATGTGGCGTCTTTGCAGATCTATTCGAACACCACCCTTCCAGTAAATTTGGAAATTCTCTCTCTGAGCCCTCTACTAGTTTCCGAGGGGGAGCACGTGTTAGTAACGAGCGAAAACATCGCGATGGTACTTGACATTGCCAAATACGGCGTCGAAGAAACCGGTGTCACATTTACCTTGGTGACACCGCCAACTTACGGAACGTTAGCATTGGACCTCCTAACATCTCGAAATGACCACTCTTTCACGTTGCAAGACATCAATCAGGATAAGGTAACCGTTCAATCAGCCAGCCATCGATTTACTAAATCCTCTAATTAACGTTCAATTCCGTTTCAAACTCGTCGCTCGATCGTAAGTCCGCGGTCGCGACAATTGCTGCTATATTAGTGCCCACCCTTCGGTTACACGCGTGACGATAAAACTCGAAATCGCCGAGGAGTTTCGCGGGAGCACGTGTAAGAGGCAAAACTCGGTCGGCGTGCACCTGACGTTAATTAATATCAGGTGGACTAAACGCGTTCCAAGTCGGCCGACCGGGCATAGGCACGGAGAACGTGGAGAATCATGTGTTCTTCCAGTTCGTCATAGGACCACGCGCTGCTATACATAGTACACGCCATAAGGACTAACTTTAGAATCGTTAGCGGCGGGAACATGGGAGGGTCGGCCGACTTGTCGCGCTCTCACTCGTTCGCTCGCCTGCTCCTCCCGCTACCTACCCACACTCAATTTATCTAGCGACAGTGCTCTATTTATAAACCGCCCCGCCATCGCTCATTAATGGTTTTTCGTTAAAGATCGCGTATCGGCCACTTTTTATCCGCCGCGCCATCGTTTGTCGCGTATTGCCAATTGCTTTCTAATTGTTAACAAAAAAAGAACGGGGGGAAATAAAGCTCGAAGTCTTCCTCTTGTCTCGGATCAGCCGTGGGGACGACGCCCACTCGATATGCTAATCGACGACTTAACTCCTGTCGCTCTAATTAATTTTGAATCGCGGTCGATCTCGAGTGTTAAATCAAACGCCAGAAAAGATAACACGAGCCAGGTACTCCGACGTACTCTCACATGATTAATTCTGATTCTGTAGCACGATGTAGTGTGTGTTTGCCAATCGAGATTCTCGTGAAACAGCGAGCTATCGCCGCGCAAGTTAAAGTTCACACGTTCCTTGTTGTATTAGGTTGCCGATATCGCGATAGATACATGACAGATTATTGATACTCGCGCGATTTCTTTCGTATGCAAATTTGCTTCGCCAACTGACTGCGCAAGCATGAAAAACGCGATCAACGTCGTTTGTTCTTAAATCTGCGCTCCATTGGCGCTTAGCAATAAAAATTTGCGTTAAATTCACATTAATTCTCTTATTTCGCTGCATGCTGAATATTGCTGTATCAAGTTAGATATGACGTACAGCATTGTCCTTATGATAATTGACTTCTCCGACAGATACAGTATATGCACGACGGTAGCGAAACCACAGAGGACAGCATGATTCTGGAATTGACGTTGGTGGCCGGGACAGGCTATACGCTTCCAGGATACCTCCAAGGACGCCTCAGATTCCCTCTTCACGTTAATGTCACTCCTGTCAATGACCCGCCGTTACTCGAGATACCAACCGCGAAAGTGCTGCGTCTGGCCCAAGTAAGACACGAAAATAAACTAGTAAGCTCTTCTGCTTTTTTAGCCTTTCACAGATACATTTTTTGTCAAGATACCGGCGACAATGTGATAATTCAGAACACGTTGCGTCTGTGGCTTGGTCGAAACAACCGGCAGTTCACCGCCACTCAACTAAATCAATTAATGGAGGTCAAATGAAATAGTAGCTTATTTGTGGGTTATTTGTGGCTCGTGCATCTTCGGAGAACGTGGCAATTTAGCCGCAACGAAATCGATTTAACTCGCTCGCGCGCCGGTCATCGCTCTTAATTAACTGCGCGTGTAAGCTCGAGGGTATGCGCGCGTATACATATATCATGCACGCGCATAACGCATATTTTTTTTTCAATCCGCTTGCAAATTCTCGGAAGGGCAATAATCGCGGAATATGAAGACGGAAATTACAATTACGATATTTATGTTCATTTAACTTCATATGCATGTGCCTCGAGGCGATTCCAATATAGATACTAAGTACGCTACAGCCGTATTAGCAAACATGAAAATAACAACTAATTGCAATTACTAAACTGATCATTAATTATTTTTTGAAACTCTTATAAAAATGTGCGGATAAAAATAATCATCATGTTAACCATGTGCATAATAATATTAAAGTAAAAACAAGATTTTTTACCCATTTTCTTAAATTATCTTTGACTAGAAAATATTGATTGATAACGAATATATTGGTATAAAATACACAAGGTGTATGTTCGCTATGCATTTCATGTGTGTAGTGTTTTACGTCAGCGCGAAAATAACAGCGCAATTCTTCGCCAATTCGCTGAATCCTTTCATCCAATATGCCAGTGCAGCATTCGCCGAATGATCTCAGGCAAATATAAAATGTGCGAAAAACGCTGATATTTGCAGGGTACAAGAAAAACACTGACCAAGGAGCTAATATGGGCTATAGACGCCGACACCCCGTCGGAAATGCTGATTTATACGGTTTTACGAGCGGATACTGATGCGGGGCATATCGAAAGAGTCACTTATCCGTTTCGACCTATCGACACGTTCACGCAGGCCGAATTAATGCAAGGCCTCATCGCGTATGTGCATCGTGGAAACGGTAACGATTCATTATTATTAATCAACGAAGTGTTATATCATAAATTATAGCATATTTGTTTATCTTTTTATTTCCTTGTTGCGCGATACCTTTTATTTCTAATGTACATATAAAAGCAGGGCAATGAAGAATGTATGAAGCATTATATTTTCATCGAAAAGCTTTTATGAACGAAACGTATTTAATTTTTCAGCAAAACCGAACGCGATGTTGGGTTTGCAAGTGAGCGACGGCATCGAGAGCAGTCAGCCCGCGTATCTGCGCGTATCGGCTTACCCGTTGCAAATCAAGCTGACGCACAATACCGGCCTCATTGTGGTGCACCGTTCGTTCTCTTACTTGACACCGGCGAATCTCTCGTTCGCCACAAATTCGGATGACAACACCATTGACATTCGTTACGACGTCGTCTCGCCGCCACAATTCGGTGTTTTGCAGAAATTGAAGGACGTTTCGAGCAGTTGGGCGAACGTAGACCATTTTACCAGTCGGGACGTGGAATTGCACACCGTTCGTTACCTTCACAACGTCGGCAGTCCTAATCAGGACGAGTTTAAATTTCAAGCAAGCGTGCGCGAAGTGAAGACACAGCAGACCTACGACTTTCGCATTACCTTCATCGACCTCGAGCTGAAGGAAACCAGAAGGATGCCTGTTAATTTCACCAATACGTCGAACGTCACTATCACGAGCAACCACTTGAGGTACCAGACGAATCCGCTAGTTACGTCACCAAGTAAGATCGTTTTCACTCTGATAACGGGACCAAGATACGGCAATTTATTTCTGTTCGATCGTAAACTCGTGACGGACGATACCTTCACGCAGGAAGACATCGAAGCCGATAGACTGAGCTACCGTCTGTTCGGTAGGTCCTATTCCAATATCCTCGACGAAATAACGTTTAAAGTTAACGCGCCTCAATGCGTCGATATACACGCCAACTTGAAAGTTCGATATTATCTTGGCAAGAACAGCAAATCGCTCGAAGGCATGGAGAATTTGAAAGTTGACGAGGGTTCAAAAGTACCTCTGAGAATCACACACGTGAATCCGAAGGAATACGGAATATCCTCTCTGGTGTACAATCTAACAGTAAAACCGAATCACGGTTGGCTCTCCATCGTGAACAGTTCGGTATCGCAGGATCGAAAAAATGTCTCATCTTTCACATTCGAAGACGTATTGACGCAAACGATATATTACGTGCACGATGATTCGGAAACAAAAGAGGATTCCTTTGAGTTTGTGGCAATGTCCGTGAATTCCACAGATTTTATGTACATCGGGAAATTTCGAATCGAGATTATCATGAGAAACGATAATCCGCCGGAGCGAACAGTCGATCGAATTTTTCACGTCGTGTCGAGAGGCGAAAAACTGATAACCAACAAGGATCTCGCGTACATGGATAAGGATATTGGTACTAGAGCGAGCGAGCTTATTTACACTAGAAAGGATGCCCAGAAAAGTGAGTTATACAGGGTGACCAATCCCTCGGTACAGACACGCAAATTTTCGCAACAAGATATTAACGACGGTATGATACTTTTCCGGCATCAGGGGGATGAACGTGAGAAAATTGAATTCGACATCACTGACGGTCACTTTTCCAGGACTGGTGTTTTCGAAATTCAAGCCAGCCCGCCGTACATCAAGTTACGCGAGAGCAACGGGTCGGTCGTTCAGTTTAACAAATCCGTGGTGCTCCGATCGAAAGACTTGGAAATAGAAACGAACGTGTATGTCACGGAGAAGGACGTAAAGTACAGTGTGTGGGAGAAACCGAAGCATGGTGTACTAATGAAGCATAGTAGAGAGTCAAGCACTTTTACGGAGGACGATCTGAAGCACGGTAGTGTGTTGTATAAGCATCTGGGTGGATCTTTAACAAAAGACACTTTTAGATTCAAAGTGTTTGTTAAAGGCGCGGACGCTGATGGTGCGTTTACAATCAGAGTCTACCCGGAGAGCTATTGGGAATCGTTGATTATTCAAAATAATAAGACGATATTCGTCGAAGAAGCCACGAGCGTTCTGCTGAATCGGAAGAGTCTCGAGATAATGCATCCTAAAATATCGCCAGCCGAAATCGTTTATTTCGTGCGAGAGTGGCCGCAGAATGGCTACCTGGATCTGCAGATCCACGACGAGCACAGCGAGGAGATGAGGGAAGAGTACAGCGGTAACACGGTGAAGCATTTCGAGCAGAGTCTGATAAACGACAATCGCGTCTTCTACGTTCAGTCGGTGATGAATCAAACGAACGATCGTTTTCTCGTAGACGTTACCAACGGTATTACGTGGTTACGCGATCTATGCGTGAATTTCGTGATAGTGCCAGAGAAACTCTACGTCGAGGCGAGGAGCCTCACCGTAGTGGAAGGGAAAGGCGTGATACTGAGTGAGACAAACTTCTTGGTCGTAACGCCGTATTACGCCGGCAAGGTATCGGATTATAAAGTAGTGGAAAAGCCGAAGCACGGCACGATTCTCGATTCTACGAAGAACACCCAGGTAAAGAAGTTTTCACAGAAGCATCTGAACGCCGGAGTCATATTGTACAAACACAACGGGGACGAATTTTTGAGCGATTCCTTCAGAATGGTGGTCACCGCCGGTGATAAGTTGAGCGAGCCCTTTGACGTACAAATTATCATTCAACCCGTTAACGACGAGATTCCTGTGTTAGTGAATAGAACTAAGCTAAACGTTTGGCAAGGCGGATCCGTTATTTTGACGCCGACAAACTTAGCGGCTGTAGACAACGACACTGCCCCGTACGATCTAACATTCAACATTACTGGTGTGAGAAATGGATATATCTCATTAATCACTTCACCCGACGTGGATATTTATAATTTTACGCAGAGTCAAATCGATGAATCACAAGTGGTATTCACGCACACGAGTAAGTATATTACAATATTAATTTAAAATATTAATTTAAACAGACGGATCTTGCTAAAACTTTCAACATTATATACACGTAAATATAATGTTAAATACTAATTATATAATTATATGCTAAACTAAATCATACATAAAATAAACGCATAATAATTTTAAGAATTTGCAATACAAGGCTGTTTTAGAAAATTAAACTACAATTATAATACTTTTCAAAGTAATAATATTGCAATCTCAATACGAGATATCGTATAAAAAAAGTAAAAATGTATAACTTTTTTTCCAGATGGATCCGACGGCGATTTCAATTTTATTTTAAGCGATGGTGTACACACGACAAAGTCTTACACGATTATGGTCGCCACAAAGCCAATTCGTCTGAACATCGAACACAATATGCTCCTTAATGTCTTCCCCCTTACTAGGAAATTAATATCAGACAAGCTCTTATTAACGACGTGTTCTGACGAAGCGAGGGAGATTAGATACACTGTGCGAAATGGGCCTCATTTAGGCAAAGTTATAATGGAGACAAGTGAAGGGGTATGGCTTGAAGTTGAGCGATTTACTCAGAGAGATATAAACAATAGCAAAGTGATTTACGAGCACACCAAGCAGTTCATGGACCTTGCGGCCAACGACTCTTTCACATTCGATGTCGAGGCGCACTTCACTGGAACTTTAACGAATCAGGTAAGAGAATAAAAAAATCTATTATAAATGTATTATCTTCTATTACGCACACTTTATAATTTATAAAAGACGGCGTTTATACTTTTAGTTAAGAAATGCAAAGTCTTTGATATTTAAAACTCAAGATTTTCGACAAGCAATGTTACTTTATTTCTAACAATCTACTTTTTGTTTCGCAGGTTTTCCAAATAGATATATCAGTTTCGAGCGGGGGCTTGGATAGGTATATTTCGACGAAAAATGTGAGAGTCATAGAGGGTGGTTCCGCGGAAGTCATCATGAATATAAGCGGTATCGTGTCGTATCTACAAATTAATGCTGGGATCCCGAATCCGGCGGTATTGTCGAGATTGGTTCATCAACCTAGTCACGGGCACGTGATGCTTCTACCGGACTTGAACGTGACTACTTTTACACAACCGCAAATCGAGGGTGGAAAAATCGCTTACTACCACGATCACTCGGACACCTTGGAAGACCGCATTCAATTTTCGTTATACTTGACACCCGGCCACGTGTTACTTTGCAACACCAGTATCCCCGTCGTCATCGAGCCGATCAACGATCAGCCTTTCAAACTCGTCATCAACAACCCGTTTATCACGGTCGTGCAAAATCAAAATCAAACCATCACTCGGGACAGCCTTTTGACCACTGATCCCGACACTCCGCCGGAAGAAATTATGTACGACGTGATTTCGGAACCGACATTCGGCAGACTACTGCTTTTGCCGTTCGATCAGAACACTTCGGAAGTGCGCCCTGTGGCAAAGTTCACCCAATACGACGTGGATTCTAATCGAGTGGTGTACGAACACAATGGAACGTTGCAGACCGTTTCTATCTACTTCAGGGTCTGGGATGGCGCATTCACTCCGATATATACCGTCTTTAACGTCCACGTTTTAGCCATACGATTGAACGTGACGGTACCTGGGCCGGTGACTTTGCAGCAAGGCTCGAACGTGGCACTTATTTCGGAGAACGACGTTAAACTCGACACAAATGCGCGTCAAGACCTGGTGATCTACGACATTACGACACTTCCGAAACACGGAATATTGTATGTACGCGACGGCGCCGCGGTGACGTTCAAGCAGACTGATCTGCTGTCGAAAAGCGTGATGTTCATGCAGACCGACATGACAGTGTCGAATGACAGTTTGGAACTGTCGGCGCGATTGAGCGGCTTCGAGCAGAAGCACATACGGGTGGAGATCAAGGTCGTGCCTCTCATGATCATGAACTCGATGACGGCGTTGGCGGGCGAGAAGAATCGAATAACTCTACAATACCTGGACGCGACACCCCTAGCGAAGTTAACGACCAGCAATCCCCTTTACACCATTGTGAGAAAGCCGAAATACGCGAAGATCAAGAGGATTATCAGGAGCTCCTCGTCGTCCGGCGAGAAGAGAGGCGCGCGCGAGCGAGAAGTGGCGCGTTTCTCACACCAGGAGATAATCTCCGGGGTGATATATCTGGTGTGCCGAAAGATACCGTCGATCGACGGTGTCGCGGACAGCTTCAGCTTCATCCTTGCGGCATCCATCTTCCAGCCGGCCGTGGGCAACTTCGAATTCCACATTAAGCTCGACATAGACGACGACAATATCACTCTAGGCGGCCCGATGGATCCGGTCGGTCACGAGGGCGAGATGGCAATCGCGCCGAACATGAGCAACGATTACCTGCTAATCCTCGGCATGTTACTCGGCGTGTTCCTCCTCGGCGTGGTTGTGATTATCACGATCAGGTGTCGGCACAACAAGTACAAGCACGCCGAGGAGGAGAAACCGGAAGCCACGCCCGCTGTCGGGGTGATGCCGCTTCCCAGACCACCGGATCATCTGATGCCTGCCACACCGCATCTAAAGCCGTTCGGTAACGATCACAACAGCGTGACGGCCAGCACGCCTCTGCCGATGTTGCCCTCGACATTACCCCAGTGTAAAGTGATACCCTTGAGCCCTCTGGAAAGCGGTTCGGAGGTCGACGTATCCGCGAGATATCCCTACGGCGTAGCGGACGGCGATGAATGGAGTAGCTTCGATACGTCCGATCTACCTTGCCAGTCGGCCACAACTCAAAGGACCAAGAAGAACCCGTTGCTGAGGAGGGATCAATACTGGGTCTAGCAGGAGAGAAACACGTTGCGGTTTCCGCGAAGAAAGCCGTAGCGTTTCTTGACGTGTTTTACGCGCAAATTGAAACTATCGTGGATATCATGGACTTGATGTGCCTAAGGAAAGTGAAATCTGCGAGTTTATGGAAATTGTTCGTCGAAATCCGAGATCATCGCGCCGGACACGCATATCGAATAACAATGAACTACGTTCGATGTGTTTTGGTGGAAAACTCGGTGATCGTCGGCATCCGATCTCGATGTATCTCGATTCTAATTAAAAGAAGCAAAGGGGAACTCTTAGACTAGGAGAGGTCATATGGATCGAAAAGGATCAATGATCGATAATTCGCGATCCGGGATAGTTCGCAGTGTCTCGTGTACTATATTAGCCTATAAAACAATATAAACGGGAAACCTAGATCTTCTTGAATGTCACGACTATCGCCGCTATCACGAGCTCAATGTGCCTAAGAAATGTCTGACTCTGCTGACATTCTTTCCATTAATCACAATACGTCGATTTTTCGTATGTCCACCCTACATCCCTCTTCCTTCCGGCGGATTAAAATAAATTCGATCGTTGAAAAGGCAGACCGACTGTTCGCTAAAGCAAGACTTTTACGACAAATTCAATTCTGATTCTAAGCGAAAAGTCCGTCGGTTTACTGGCTCGTTCTAGAGTGCAGATTTTCAGAAAGATTTTACGTTCCTTTACCTCCTTCCATTTTTACACCTTTTGTAAATCTAGGATAGTAAGGTCGTTATATAAAAGTGGCATTTATCGATCCCTACTGTCGTAAGTTCCAGATAAAAATCGAAGCATTAAGATTTAAAAAAGATATGGAACTTTCGTTCTTAAGCTATTATTATAAACAAAGGAAACATCGAGTAAGCGGGGTAATACAGGAACTTTATGACACTGTAAAATGATTAAATATATACATAATGTAATCGAAAATATATATATATGTTCCTGTTACTTGTTACTTGCCACCAAAGAACGCAAACGAAATGCATTTATATTAACAGCTATTCAAGTTTTGACATATCTTTTTATACCGCCGTATTGTCAAACTTTCATTTTCCTCCGATATAGATCTCATATTAACACAATCAATTCATTCTATTGTTTCTCCGACTGTTTCGATGTTGCTCATATCGTGCATTAAATAAATGTAAATTGACTATTAACATTTGCTCTTTTTATGGCAATATAATAATATATATTTTATCTTTATGTAGCGACATACATTGATCACCGTTCTTATTAAAAATGCGCCGTACAACAGATCGACAACTCTTTTCGATTGATTATTTTATCATCAATAGTAAAAGCGATTGATCGATGGCGTCATGGTTATTTTTACGAAATTTCGTCTTTTTGTCATTTTTTCACGACGAATCGTCATGACGATTATCTCGGATGGAATTAGAATCTGTAGAATCGTCTACGGAACTTATACAATTCTCATCCGTTTCTGTGCAAGTTTCAACGAGCGATAGACACTATAGGCGACGCCAAATAAGACGATTACTTGACGTATTTTCAATGCGAATTAGCAGTAACAGTCGAAGTCTATAAGCTGTTTTTTACACGAGTGAGAATAGATCTTTTCTACTACGAATCGTTAACGCGCGGCGAGTTCGTAATTCATAAGCGATGAACGGGATTGTGCGTGCGCGATTTCAGTATTATCTGAGAAAAATTTGTTAATAGAGGCGTGTTGACGACAATTCGTTGATTCTTAAGAAAAATTTTACGTTACGTTATCCTTGAATTCATGGCAATCTCAATGAATCCACTTTCAGCCAATGTCGAATAAATACGATAGCCCATGCTAAATTTTCTTTAATTCACAATAATAATTGTACAATTAAATTAAATTAATACCATACGATAGACACAATTATTAAATAAAAGTTATATATTAACGTGAACAATAAATGAAAATATAACAATTCCGGTCGAAGTATATAAATTAATTAGATTAAATTATAGATACTAAAATTTATATTTGAATAGAATTTTTAATGAGATTGTTTTTATGGCATAGCCGCATAGGGGGATATTAAAAGATCTTTATACATTAATAAAATAATAATAATAATAATAATATGATAATAGCCTTAGAAAAAGCAATGAAAAGGCTTAAATTGTTTGGGATATAAAATTACAATGGATTGGAAATGAAATCTCGTTTGCGGTAATTCAAGCAAATGTCCGGCTGAAAGTGGATTAATGTAATTTCTCTAAAATTAGAAGGGTATCTAATAAAATCGATCTAATGTGAATGTTGATTATAGCGATCATAATGATATATATAAATATATATTATAATGCGTACAACACTCCTACGTAGAACGTGCTGTTCCATGAATTCATAGCATTAATAGATTCTAATTAAAAACATTTTATCGCGAGAGAAATCAAAGAGAGAAAGAGAGGGTGAGAAAGAAAGAGAGAGTGAGAGAGAAAGAACCCGTTCGTTGATTCATGAATATGTTAGAGGCGAACTGTTAGGCTTTTTTACATCCACCAAAAGTGAACTGATCCGAGTGCCAAACTTCTATAATCTATAATATATATAATTACCATAGGACTTGTATTTTCCCTGCCGACTGAATGCATTACTCTTCTAATTCTAATAAATTGAATGTGCGATGTTAAGTAAACACAGTCTGATTTATTATTTACTGTATTGCGGTGGCTTATCTTTTATTAATGTTATTATTTTATATTATTGTTACCTGCGTAACTGAGGTCCCAAACCAAATATTCTCTCATATTAGTTCCATATACCTTTTTCCATTTTAATCTAATTTTTGTTATTGCAAACATAATCAGACGGTAAAAAATTCATTAAAAATATTTATGAATATATTATACGCAATTAAGATATACAAAAATATTCTCTCTTTTATTTAATTTAAATAATACCTTCAGCAAATAACAGAAAACTTAATTAATACGCCAATAAATTGAATAATTATAATCATTTTCGTGATACGTACGAGCAGTTTTTATTTGTGCCAATTAATATTTGTCTGATAAATAAAAAATGTGTGCACACATTTCACCCTTTTTAGATATAGGATAAGGAGGGGCTATTTAAGACGCAGTTAAAGAAAAAAATCGGATAAATTTCAAGACAGAAAAGGGCTTTTTGACTTTTTGTTATAAAAATTTTTTTATCCAATTTTTTTCTTTAACTGACTCAAATAGCCCCTCCTTACCCTATTCGGAAAAAAATAATAAAAAAGTTGTAAACAAATAAGTAACTTATTTATCGCTTAAGCTCACGGTATCGCTTATAAGAATAAAATATCAGACATATGCATCTCGCAACTTGTTTCTGTAATAGCATAATGAAACTTTCGATGTCGATAAAATGCAATAATTTCCAGTTTCGTTCTCCATATATGTTATAAACAATAACGTGTGCATAAATCACATATTAAAATTTTCATTCTCTAATATCCGCATAAAAATTCGTTGGTTGTGTTTAACATGTTTATTACCATTATAATTGCGTGATACTCAAATCAATATTACCTGCAATAATTTCTCGTGACTAATTTTTCATATAAAACCTAATATGTACTAATTAAAGCTATACCAATTATAAATGCGGTGTAGTTTGTCGAGTCTAGTTGTTTTCGAAATATATAACGAGATGAACGTATTACACGTCCGACAAATAAAAACGAAACATCTCCTTGCCAAAAATTTAATAAAGACTCACCAAAAGTCATCGCCATATTGGAATCTTCAAACTCCATCCCTTCGGTAAGCGTGTGAGATCTCCTAAACAAAGATTATATATACAATTACATGTGAATTACATTGCGTACTGTGATATATGATAAAAATTGCCTTGAAGGAAACAACGGCGATTGCCATCATTGGCTTGTGGGATGTCTTGTAGCTCATTGTCAGTGTGAGTGCGATAGATTAGTATATTCTAAAGCCCCTTGCACAATAGGCGATAGCGATAGCGACAGCGACAAAGTTGCCGACAAAGGTATAGCTATACCTTTGTCGGCAACTTTGTCGCTGTCGCTGCCGCTATCGCCTATTGTGCAAGAAGCTTAAGGGTCATGAGTTCGATTCCGATTATCCCATATATTCCTCTTTTAAGAGGAGGTATCCCTGTTTAAAAGAAAAAGAAAAAAAATTTCAAGAGTTCTAAGAACTTGAGATTACAAGAAGGATCCCCCCGATTAAAGGGTGGATATTGATTAAATAGAGAATTTGTATCTCTGCATTAATTGTCATGTAAAATATATTTTTGCAAGTTTTTCCCATACTTCTCATTCTAGAATTAAATCGTTTTTCCAATACACTTATGTTGTGTAATTAGTATAATTAAATCAGATATGTTATATGCAGGTTATGGGCTGAGTCGATCCCTGGGTAACTGCAGTTTGCTAGTTGATAGAATCCTTAAAATCCTTTAAAAATAAAAAAACATCCATCATTGCTGTGGATTTGCGCGTATTAAACGTCAAATATATGGATAATTAAAGCTCTTTAATCGATTACAATTGGCTATCATCGTCATGACAATTCGACCATTGCAGATTTTGGTCAGATTAATCGTCAAGACAATTTCGACCATGGGTTTTGATCCATCAATTTAGAAGAACTAAAACTCATGGTCGAAATGTCTTGACGATTAATCTGACCAAAATCAATGGTCGAATTTTCATGACGATGATAGCCAGAATTGTAATCGATTAAAGAGCTTTAATTATATGTTAATTAATTGTTGACGGAATAAAAATGTACTTTTACGGTCAAATATATGATGTTTAATAATTAATTCGAATAAAAAAAATGATGATCGACACGACTAATGGATCCAATGTATACGTACTTGGCGATGATCCGAGTGCACTTCCGACTGAATTCCCGTTGCACTGCGAAAATAATGACGTACGCGAGAAGAACTTTGATTCCGGACTCCGGACAGGCGGAAGAGCATCGTCGACGTCGAGATTATGACGTACGACGTACGTTAGCGGACAATAGCGGTGGCACGAGATTAACAGGCTAACCTCGAAGGATATTTGATACTTGGCGAGATGCACTCGGGCTAATTCTTCATGCACGGGATTCTTTTAAACAGTGACCGCGAAAAATATGGAAAAGATTCGAACCCGACACGCGGCACGCGTACATTGACTGCGATATCTGCGATACGAATATGGCTGCATTCGAGGAGCGCGCTATTAGCGCTATTGCATCATTCTGTCTTTATCGCTCATCAGGTGTAAAACAAGGATAGAACAAGCAAATAGCGCTAATAGCGCGCTCCCCGAATCCAGCCTAAGTGCAACATGGCAGTTCCCTGAACAGCGAAACGGTTGACGGAGCGGCAACTTCAAGCAGATCCGTTGGGCCCATTTTATTTTAGCGGCACTTTCTGCACTCGAGATGTGAGATAAGTATGTTTAATCCTTTCAAAAGATAAGAAATGAAAATGAGCGCAACAAGCGCAATTGAAGTGTACAAAACTGCTATTTAACGGAAAATATAATACGAAATGCCCTTTTTATATTTTATAAAATAATTCTCAGAATTTATATATTTTTTTTTTCAAAATTTTAAGTTTGAATTTATAGTGTGATGTAGTGTGCGTGTGCATACACTACAGCTGACATACACAAATAAATCAATTCAAAATTCTGTTTCTGACTGTAATCTGAAAAATAATGTCAGAAAATAAATGAAAAAATAAAGTGAAGAATAATATTGGGAAATAAATGATAAATATGCGTCTGTAGGGTAATAATGTGTAATACAATCGTACATTCGTACAATTATGCATTCATTGTATTTTGATTAAATTTCAACGAAAAGACCGATATTAAAACGTATAATAGCGATTGCGTAATAAAAAACATTTCATATGACGCTTCAGATAATTTTTTGCGCGCGAGATTTTTAGACTGCAGTCCACTTTTGGCACAACAAATATTTCAAAGCGTAGAATTCTTTGTCCTGATTGGTCAACCTAGAGTCCCTATAATAAGAGTTAAGGGGGATTCTCTTTTTTTTCTGCTAAATTTAATTTTCTGGTGAAGAGACTATATAACGGATCAATGCGAAATTTGGCATTTGGATTTATTTATCTTTTATCTATTCACAAAAAAATTAAAAATTATTTTCTCCCAAAAATACGCCTCCCATCCCTCTCGACGCGCGATGATCCCCAGTTGACGGTGTGCATGATTTGAGTCTTAATTTCCATTAATCCTGCAACGAAAACCCAAGAACATTTTACTTTACACACATGTAGCTATCGTTTGACGAAAAAAAAGCAATACGTTGAATATTTTTTTGTTTATAACAAAAAGATCGATTTATTTTTTTGGCTAAATCGATATTTTGAGTTTAAAACATCACCGAATCCTCAATTCTTTTTTTTTCCACTTCGTCAAACGATAGCTACATGTGTGTAAAGTAAAATGTTCTTGGGTTTTTGTTGCAGGATTAATGGGAAGACTCAAATCGTGCACACCGTCAACTGGGGATCATCGCGCGTCGAGGGGGATGGGTGGCGTATTTTTGGGAGGAAATAATTTTTAATTTTTTTGTGAATAGATAAAAAATAAATAAATCCACATGCCAAATTTCGCATTAATCCATTGTATAGTTTCTTCACCAGAAAATTAGAAAAAAGCGATAAATTTAGCGGAAAAAAAAAGAATCTCCCCTTAAACCAATGTGGTGACGATTTTTAATTGGTCCGCCATCTGTTTCAGCAAAGTTAGTAGGAGTGAGACAAAGCTATAACTGGTCTAATCTGCCATTTATAGCCAAAAAGAAGTTGGTGGGAGTGAGACAAAGCTATAATGGGTCCTATAGATTTATTATAGGAACTCTAGATCAATCCAATGCTTCATTTATTGTTGGACAGCAACAACTGCAGAAAAAATGCGAAACGATCTGAGAAACGCAACGTGTTTTTTGATTGACGCGCTGAAATTTGCCGAGGAGTGTTATATTCGAAGTATTGAAACTATTGAAACAGAGAATTAAACGTGGAAATTTGAAATACTTTAGCGAATATTAAAAATAATATTAAAAATAATGCAAATGCATGAATCAAATGCAGTAAATCCTCTAATCTATACAAGTTCTTTAACCCTCCGAGGCCACACCTCTTTTTTTAATACGCTCCGGCCACACTGGGTGGTCCGCCACCAGACGGATTCAAAGTCACATAACTCTAATTAATGTGCACGTAAAAATTTATGAAACATCTTAATAAAAATGTTGTTCAAAAACATGCATGGTGCAGAACCTGAAATATGTTCCTGATTTTTTATTAAAAAATTGAAAAGAAAAAAATTTGAAAAAATAACTTTTAATTTAAAAATGCGTATTTTTTTAAGATTCGTTATTAAGTAGCGCCCATTTAGGAAATTATGTAAAAATGGTGTTGTTTTAAGAGAAAAAATACGTCTTATATAGGTATTCGAAAAACACAAGTACTTATTGAGGATCGAAGTTGAGATTTTAGGTAAGTAAAGCGAAGATGTATTTTCACATTTTAATTTTTATGTATTTCTAATTAAAATTAAACTAAAGTCACTAAAGTGTATTTTTATTAACCTTTAGACTGCTGGCATTTTTCCATTAAAATAGTGTCCTTTATTTATCTATATAAATCCAAAAATTTATCTATATAAATTACATACTCATGGCGTGGAATGTCGAGATTTGTTTGAAGCCACAAAAGTGGCTTCTACAGCAAAAAACATACGGTCAAATAAAAAAATTATTTCCTCAAAAATAGTGTATTTGGGGGAGTTTTTGGTGTCGCTGATTCTAATTCTGAGCTTAGATTTGTAAAATTTCGAGCCTAAGTGCAGTATTGACAACATGAATGAATATAAACATATATATGCTCATCCCTGGCGAAAATGAGAAGTTTCGTGAACGTTCCTTTGGCGTTTACGTGAGCGTTTGCGGGAGTTCGTTGAGAGTTTGGAAACGGTCAGTAAAGATTCCATAGAGCGAAAATTCGCACACTGCAGCGTTTGAAAGGCGTTTGTACATAGCGTTTTTGAGAGTTTGCACAACATTTGCATAACGTATTACGTTTGCTGACAGTTCTTTAAAACATTTATAGATCTTCTGTTAAGGATTTAATGGGCGTTTGTGGCTACGGTCCACTTGACGCTACAAATGCTTCGAAGCATTCCTCTTCTCCTTTCTTTCAATGAAAAAAAAAAAAGAAGAAGAACGTTTCAACTGCATGCAGCCTCTATTGAGCGTTTAACGAGCGTTTATTCTTGTTGTTAGAAGAATAATTTTTATTAATAATAAATAATGGAGGTTTCGAAATCGAATCTACTTTTCGCCTTACAGGGGGGTCTGCTTATATACGCGGCTGGATGTATTTTAAATGCGAGAAAGATGCGCCGTTCAGCGGCGTTGTTAGAAGAGCGTTTGCTGAATGGATGGAAAACGCTCGTGTTACAGCGTCAGGAAAAGCAGTTCTTAGGCGTTTCCAAGCGTTTGCGTAAACGCCCTATAATTCGCCGCATTGAAAAAGTGTTTGCTGAACGGAGAGAAAACACTTGTCTTACGGTGTTGAGAATAGTATATTGTGCACCAAGGGGCGAATGTAGCGTTTTTCAGACGAGTGTGAAGTTTGCCGCCCGAGCCGAATTCGAGGGCGGCAAATGACACGAGTCTAAAAAAGCTTTCGCCCCGAGGTGCACACGATATTTTTCACAATATCTTTACGGAAAGTTTGACCTCCATGCCTAGAGAGAGGCGAGAGTGGCCATTTTACGCCAGGACGGCATAGCGGGCGGAAAGTAACCACTTTCCTCCCTAGGGCGGAAAGTGATCACTTTCGTCCCGCTAAACAGGGACGAAAGTGGCCACTTTCCGCCCTAGGGAGGAAAGTGGTTACTTTCGTCCTGCTAATGCCGTCCTGGCGTGAAATTGGTCACTTTCGCCCCTCTCTACAGGCATGGAAAGTCGAACTTTCCGTGGAGGTGTTGTGAAAAAGCATTTGCTAAACGTTTGTAAAGTCTGATAACAAACTCTCTGCATGAAAGTAAATCAGCGTTTACTAAACGTGCTCTGAAAATCGTCTCCTCAACATTGCAAAACTTTCACGAAACGTTATACATATATAGCGCTTGATAAGCGTTTTAAAAGCGTTTAAAACCTAACGGGGCGTTGTGTAAGCGTTCTTACAAAGTTCAAGGTATTCCTTTCATGACATTAAAGTCTTAAGAATTAACTGATTTTTTGGTACGAGAAAGTTAAAATGCATATCTTTACGCCAGAAAAAAATTAAACCACATTACCGAACATATAAAGAAGAATTATGACTTTGAAAATTTGATATTTTATATGGTTATATCGAAAAAGTCTATTTTCCACATTTCAATGTAATAATTTGTTTGTCAAATATTTTAAGATATTAAATATTAACAGTGCTACATATTCGCTAAACTCTATACTTTTGATAGTGCCGATAAAAATACAGAGTCACCGAATATTTAAACAAAATATTTATGTTAAATAAAAAAATTTTTTTTGTAACTTTGAGGCTCAGTATCTTTATTTTTTATACCGGAAGAGGTATTGAAATTTATACCACGCATAAAGCACACCTAAATTAACGTATATTCACAGTTTCAAGAAAATTCTAAGAAAATCGATTTTCTCTAGTATAAAAACGAGAGAACGTCTTTAAGAAACAAATTCAGTTTAAAAAGAGTAATAAAATTTTGAATTGGATATATGATATAATATTTCTTAAGGGGATCCTGCAGTGACTGGCGAACTTCCTCGATGTCGATAATGTCAACCTTTCTAATTTTGTTTTCCCTATATCTGTCTTTGTCTAACGAAATGACATCTGTCCTTTTTTCAATTGCTCGCCATCTTACGCAAGATCCGGCAACTACTGTTGCTGCTCTTCTTGTCATCCTGCATCCGTATTTGCATTACTAAAATAATTATTAGATGGATCTTTTTTTGTACGCATTGAATCTTACTTCTACTTACACGATATTATTCCTACATGTTTTCCCAAGGGTGGATGATAAACATTATGTACGTATAAACTGTAGAATTTTTGTTTTAAGCAAATATTATCGTCAGGTGACAGCTGTGTATGTGCCCCAATAAGTAATATTTTTAAATTTTTTGGTGCTTTTGATATAAAATCGCGTTTTCCATCCTAGATTTTTGTGCGGACTTTAATTCTAGACCAAAAACTTGCAATTCTGTAAAGCCAATTAAAAAGATTAACGATAATGTCGGTAAATCATACGGCTGCAGGACGGCTCATTATGAAATTTTGTGTTCGTAAATATATTTATGAAAAAAGTATATTTATAAAGTTAAAACATTCTTATCAAATCCTTACAAGGGCCTCACTAGACAAAAATAAGGAAACCTTTTGTTAATGAAACTTTAGAAATAATGCAGAAACATAAATTGCTGATGCACCGACTAGGGCTAAAATGTGTCAATCGACATGGCAATTGCATAAAAAATCTTATTCAATACAAGTTCATTCCACCTGCAGTATACAAAATATAATTGCATGCAGCATCAAATTATAATTCACTATTGATTATCCATTAAAAGCTATGACATTGCTATATAAAAACGCAGTATAATAATACTTTCATTGATTAATTATAATCTTTAATAGAAATTACGTGGATGCAGATTTATCTACAAACTATCCACATGGATGCAACGTTTTTTTTTCATCACTACATCGAAGTCTTTTATCCTCGAAAAGTCAATAAAAATTCCCTGTACATATTTCTTAATAGATTATGTCCACAGAGAATCTACATTGATATTTCGGAGATAATAGACTTCGATGTAGTGATGAGAAAATAACGTTGCATCCATGTGGATAGTTTGTGGATAAATCTGCATCCATGTAGTCCACGTAAATTACGTGGATTCGACGAGGACTGTTTTTATCGGGGTGGTATCTGCGATAGTTGGAAAGAGCGGAATAAAGAATAATTTTAATCACAAAGATTTAAAGTAGGTAACAGTACAAAATAAAATTATTTAATTAAAATAAAATAAATAAATTTTTCTTGTAAAAAAACTTGGCGCTGCTAGACCTCGAAATTTAATAAAGTACTGAAATTTTTGATTAAATAAAAAAACAAACATAATTTAGAGATCAAGAATGTGACGGGAGTAAAAAATCAGCGCCAAGTTTTTTTACAAGAAAAATTTATTTATTTTATTTTAATTAAATATTTTTATTTTGTACTGTTACCTCTTAAATTCTTTGTGATTAAAATGATTCTTTATAATATTATAATTTTGTTAAAGAGAATTGTGGAATCCACGTTTCTTTCATGTGGACCAGCGACGTAGAATTCACGTAGACAATCGAGTGGATCATCCGCTTAAAAACGGTAGTCGGATCCACGTGGATGAGATCATCGATTCGACGTGGAATTTACGTGAAAGTTTCACGTCTTAATATTTTGGCGAGTACTGGGCAGTACTGGATTACTGGTAGTAATTTATTACACAGAGACTACTGGTGCATAGTATTGAATTATACTCACCCAAAAAAAACCTCTTAATACTAGAGGACACTGATTTCCGATATTCACCCGGCATAAAAAATTATTTTTATCGAAATTTTATTACTATTTTATAACTAAATTTGTTTTTTAAGATGCAGTCTATGATTATAAATATTTTCTCGAATTTAAAAACACATATAAAAACACACTTACTTTGGTGAGATTTGAACTCGGGACCTCTGGATCGTGAGCCAACTGCCTTACGTGGTAGACTACTTCTTAATTTGATGTAAGTGTTATATATAGTCTACATATGTCATAACCAGCGCAAATATATAATTTTTTAAAAATCATCTTAAGAAACAAATTCAGTTTAAAAACTGATTATTATTATAACACATAACTTTTGTATTTTTACGACATAATAAAATTCTTTAATTTTAAAATGTCTTACTATCATTTTCATTAATTATTCATTAAAACGTTCCATTTAGCTATATTAATTGCGATTGACAACATCAAGTCTCCTGAGATTGATAAATTATCTGTCAGTAGAACAGTGAAAATATCTACGCAAAATCTACATTGATACTACGCGGATGAGATACTTTGATTTTATCGATGGAAAAGAAACGTTGAATCCACGCGGATAAGGTACTTTGATTTTGGCGATGGAAAAGAAACGTTGAATCCACGCGGATAAGGTACTTCGATTTTGGCGATGGAAAAGAAACGTTGAATCTACGCGGATAAGGTACTTCGATTTTGGCGATGGATAAGAAACGTTGAATCTACGTGGATAAGGTACATCGATTTTAGCGATAGAAAAGAAACGTTGAATCCACGCGAATAAGGTTCTTCGATTTTGACGATGAAAAAGAAACGTTGAATCTACGTGGATAACTCGTGGATGAATCTCCATCCACGTATTACGTAGATTCGACGCAGATGCGACGTACCTGTTTTACTGGGGTACCACTTGGGTTGAAATAGGAAGACCCTTGAATGGGAACACAAAGATTTATGTATCACATGAATTTTATTTTTTAAAAGTAGTTGCACAACAATTATTTTTTGAAGCAATATATATATTCTTAATTGTTGCAATTGGCGCAATTTAAAGATTTCACATCTTTTTTTGAAATATATGTCACTTGGGTTGAGTTAGGCAACATAATTTTGTGATATAATAATTTTGTTAAGAAGAAATTAAAGCTATATACTACTACTTATAGGTTGAATTTTTGAATTTACAAAATACATTGCGTGTATTTGGCGACTTTTTTACCTTTTTTGAAAAAGGTAGTTACTACAAAATCCCGTTTACGCGAAGGAATTATCGTTTACAACTACTGCCTATAGCCTTATAAGCTCTTTTCTTTTTTTTAACAGTAATTAACGCGAAACTTAATCAGTAAAAATAGAGTTCCTCTAATTGTAAGTAAAAATACCTCGTCGCGCCATCTGTAAAATCAATCGCGCACGATGTCGCGCGAATTAATGCGATGCGAGGGCGATACGGCAGTGGTTAGTGGTTACTTCCTCAACATGGCTTCATGCGTTCGGTAAGTTTATTTTCGGCTTTTTAACCTTCGAACGCGAGGATACGGATTTGTCGCGGGCGTACGTGACTCGCTCGTCGCTCGTTCCGCGACGTTGTTCTGGGCGGTCGCGGCGGTCACGTATCACGATTTTTCTCCGATGTAAAATCGCGACGTAGATTTCACGCAGATCCAGCAGATCGTTGATACGCCGCTGACGTGTCCCCCACCGCGCAATCTTATTTCCGATATAAATACTTTTTTTTCAATTAACTCCTTGCGCCGCCGGCCGCCAATCTAATCTAATCTGTCGCCGGGCGACTGCGACACCGACCGCCATACGCTACAGTGAAATTGTATGTACAGTTTTATAAACGAATCGTCGCCGTACAGATCACTGCGCGGTCGCGTTTTCCGGCAGGATTTCCTCCCGAGGTCGTTACCCAGCTGGGACGTGAAAGACCACGATGTAATGCACGCCGATAAGCATGACTTATCAATATTTCCTTTTAATCTGTGACTTACGTAGAACGTAGCCCGTTGTGTTCGCGGCAAGTGTTCAGATTTTGATTATCGTCTTGTTTTTGTAAACGTTTCAGGTTGGCTCTATTTTTAATACTACTGTGTTCTCCATTCATTACCGATGCGGTCAACAGAGACAACTTCAAAAGATGCGACCAGAGCAGTTTCTGCCGGTAAGGATTAGTTGTTATTGCAAAATACTTCAAAATACGTCATTTGAGAGGCTGACGTAATCTTTATTTTCTTTGTAGACGGTGCAGAGGAATGGAGGCTGGAAAAACGCCATATCAGCTTTTGCCGGATAAACTTGTACAGAATGAATCGATGATCATGGTAGACTTATTTAACAAGGATACGGGTGTCACCTATGTGGTCCAACTTATCACGTTAAAAGAAAGCACATTTCGGTTGCACATCAATGAAAAGAATCCACTGCATCCCAGATATGAAAATGAACATGCCCTTCACGATCAGCCACAAACGGTAGAGATGGATGTTGTGGAAAGCACCGCTGAAACTATAACCGTGACCAAGGGCGATAACAAAGCCGTTTTATATATTAATCCATTTAGAGTAGAACTGTATTCCCAAGGTGTTTTAACGATATCGGCAAATGCCCGTGGTCTCATGAGATTTGAGCATTTGCGTACAAAACCAGTAAAGTGAGTATTGCTAGAAGATAAAATTATTGCATTAAGGTGTCTGTAATATAATATTATTACTTGTGTGTTATATAGACCAGAAGGTGAAAATGCTGAAACAGCTGAAACAAATAATAATAATAATAATAATACGTATCCTGGTGATGGTGCTGACAATGATTCTGGTGCTTGGGAAGAGAACTTCAAGGAGCACCACGATGCAAAACCATATGGACCGGAAGCTGTTGCCATGGATTTTAGTTTTCCCGGATCAGAACATGCCTATGGTATTCCAGAACATGCTGATTCGCTAGCATTACAATCAACTAAATCGACTGATCCATATAGACTATACAATCTAGATGTATTTGAATATGAAACAAATGAACGTATGGCTTTGTACGGTGCCATCCCCGTTCTTTACGCTCATGGGTAAGAACATTTTAATAAGTTGAACAGCTCTAGGATTCGTGAGAATGTTTACGCAAAATTTGTTTTTGTATATTCTAGAAAGGAGAGATCATCAGCTGTTTTCTGGCACAATACAGCCGAAACATGGGTCGACATTCTATCGAGTGCAGACAATAATGTTGTGGAAAGCATTGTTAATTTCGTATCTGGATCAACTAAGAAATCTCAGGTGGATGCTCATTTCATGTCAGAATCTGGAGTGATTGACGTATTCTTCATGCTGGGTCCAAAACCACTTGATGTTTTCAAACAATTCATTGTTTTGACTGGTACAGCTCCTTTGCCACAAGTATGTTGAATACATATTGTAAAAAATTAAAAATTAAAATTAATTTTTTATGAAATATTTTCTTAAAATATGTATCTTTTAGATGTTTGCACTTGGATACCATCAATCTCGTTGGAATTATAATGATCAGGACGATGTCGCAACGATCGCCGAAAGTTTTGACACACACGATATCCCACTAGAAGTTATGTGGCTTGACATTGAATATACTGACAACAAAAAATATTTTACATGGGATCCACGTAAATTCCCAAATCCTCTTGAAATGATACACAATCTCACTGCCAAAGGCAGAAAATTGGTAGTTATCATAGATCCTCATATTAAACGTGACACCAATTACTTCTTGCATAACGATGCTACCAGGTTGGGCTATTACATCAAAAACAGGGATGGAAAAGATTACGAGGGTTGGTGCTGGCCGGGAGCCTCGTCGTATCTAGACTTTTTCGATCCAAAAGTCATCGAATATTATACTGGATTATACAGTTTAGATAAATTCCACGGTACCACTAATGACGTTTACATTTGGAATGACATGAACGAACCGAGTGTGTTCAATGGCCCTGAAATAACGGCACCAAAGGATCTTGTCCATTATGGAGGTTGGGAACACAGAGACGTTCACAATATTAATGGACATATGTATATCCGTTCGACATACGAAGCTCTATTCCGTCGGTCAGGCGGTTCCCTGAGACCTTTTGTCTTAACGAGATCCTTCTTCGCTGGATCACAACGTTACGCGGCAATGTGGACTGGCGATAATACAGCTGACTGGAGTCACCTTCGTGTAAGCTATCCTATGTGTCTTTCAGTGGCTATATCCGGAATATCATTTTGTGGTGCCGATGTTGGAGGTTTCTTCAAGAATCCAGATTCGGAATTGTTCATTAGATGGTACCAAGCCGCAACATGGCTGCCTTTCTTCCGTCAGCATTCTCACATCGAGACAAGAAGGCGCGAGCCATGGACATTCAATGAGGAAGTTACTCAAATAGTTCGTGAAGCACTCAGAATGCGATACTCCTACCTGCCATTGTGGTACACACTCTTTAGAGAACACGAAGTAAACGGTTATCCCGTTATACGTCCTTTATGGGCACACTATCCAACTGAATCGGGAACATTTACTATCGACGATCATTTGCTACTTGGCGATTCAATACTCGTACGTCCGGTATTACAGTCCAGTGCTACCGAGGTAGCAGTTTATTTCCCAGGAGAGGGCAAAATAACCTGGTACGATATTGATACAATGCAAGCCTACGAAAAAGGAGGATACGTTAAATTACCAGTAACAATTCACAAGATCCCTGTATTCCAAAGAAGTGGTTCTATCGTCCCACGAAAAATGAGAATACGACGTAGTACAGTTGCTATGAGGAATGATCCTTACACTCTGATAATAATTGCTGATAATAATGGCAAGGCTAGCGGCAATCTATACATTGACGATGAAATCAGTTTTGAATATCGCCATGGAAAATATTTGTATTTAAGACTAACGTTGGACGGTAATAAGATAACTTCAACTCTAATAGATAAACTAGCTTCGTATGAGACACAAAGCTGGTTAGAAAGAATAGACATAGCCAATCCACCACAAGGAATGAAATCTGCTCAATTGGAGTCTCACAGTGAGTAGTCAGATTCAAGTGTGATAAATCAGTCTTGCAAAAAATCGATATTAATAATATATATTGCTTACAGGTGTGGGAAAAGCAACATTGGAAACTACATATAATCCACATAACAACGTATTAACGATACGTAAACCAGCTGTAAATATGGGCGAGGAATGGACCATTGAATTATTACATTAGAATTATGATTTTACTCATAATCAACTCAGTATCCATACCATAATGCCAATTTTCTATTACTATTCAGTTATCTGTGATGGTTGTTTTTTAGAACAAATATAAATACAAATACAATTTAGTTAACTGTATAAAATAAAATTGCTTTTTTTTTTCAGATTAATCAGTCAATTAAATTGCATAATACTTTGAAAGCTATAGATACAAATCCTCTGTAATTTATAGTTCTTTACTTCATGATTTAATAAAAAAATTGAAAATAAATTAATATTTCAGACTATTGTGGTACATTACAACAAAATGTTATTATATGTCAAGGGTATTTATTTAACTTAAAAATGTTACCAGCGCCATGAAACATATATTTAAAATTTTATTATTCTCTTCCAGCATTAAACATATTTTAATAACTTATCTACCGAAATATCAAATGTAGGTTTTAAATAAACTACTTGGTAAAATAAGACCGATAAGATTTATCTCAAAAAGTACCTTTATTTCGTTATATGCGTTCCGTTGGCGCGTGCTTATGAGCTAGATATAAAAACACTAATGATGATAACGCTGATACCAAGAAAATAACATCGAACCATCTATGATAAAAATTAAACTGCAATTCTCCTAATACTTGCGTTATTATAATGCGGTATTCTGCCGGCATATTCATCCGCATAAGGAGTACAGAAGATACAAAATACATTCCCTGAAAATGAGAGCAACGCAGAATTTAGAATGTGAATAAACTCAATAAGAATTATGTATGTTTTATATTATATATACTTACCATTATTTGCGCAAGTATAAGTACAATAATATTTGACGACTTGCTGCTCGATATAGCATAGAAGAACTGAAACAGAAGTCAGTAGTGAGTATTGTTATTAAAACTGATGATGAAGTAATAAAACATTAATATTTATGTCCTTTACTACATATGTATGTATCTTGCTTTACTTATAATGTTAAGAATGTTTATTGTACAAGATCGACAGTACATATATAGGTCATTTTATAGAAATTAAAAAATATGTATAATTGCTATGCAAGGTGCTATATAATTACTATATGTATTTTACATACCTTTGTCAGAGTCAATAATAATCCACGTATGGACGTTACAACAATGCAGCCGACGAGGTAAAAAGAAATGTGTTGCGACCAAAATGTAACATCGATATTGAAACCAATCCAGTGCACCGCAATTTCGATTCCCCTGGTTACAGGATCTTTTTTGCCGACTCGATCAAATACTATGTTAATCGTAGACTATAAAAATATAATACAATTATGAATTATTAAACAAAAAATTTAATTTTTAATTAATTACACTTACAATGAATATCTTCCAAGTACAATATAAAGAGAAGAAATAACCTAGGAAATTAAAATATTTTCCTTGCCAAGTGGCAGCCCATTCCAGACGTTCTCTCGCATTTTGTATGTCATGCGCTTCCAAAAATAATTGTCGTGATAACTCTTCTAAAGCAGTAACTTCGATTTGTAATTGCCTGATACCTATAAATCGATTATATACTGTATCATTAGAATGGTTCGTATTCACAGCTTCGTTGTAAAACTAAAGAGAATATATACTTTCTTGATTTCCTTTTGTACCACCTAACGGACCCAACATCCCCCATAGTCGAGATCGAGTTTCGGTTTGTCCATCAGCTTCTCCTTTTCTAGCTAATGCAATTCTTTTCTTTTTTGCGATAATCATATCCATAGTTTGCAATAATCGTTTTTCTATGGACTGTACATCCGCATAAGAGACTGGACGCATAAAATAAGCCATTGAAGTGTACGGATAATTTACAGCGCCAAAACCCGACAGAAGGGCCATTACTGTAACACCTATAACACCTATTCGACTGACACCTTGCTCTATAGACAACAGTCCTTTCTTGGGACTCAGTATTGGAAAAGGATCACCCACTTTCCAGAACAGGTAAAGATAAAAAAGATATATAACAACTGTCAATGGCCGTATTAGATTCAGTCTTACTGTACAGATAAAAAAAAACTGATTAGATTTGACACAAATGTTTGACAAAAATAAACAGCAGAAATAAAATTTACAAAAGATATTTATAACGAATACATACCAAATCTGATATTGCTGATAATAAAATATGCTATATAAAATGGGATCAGGACTATCACCATAAATAGAAGCATGTAAAGGCCAGCATTCCAATGGAAATATCTAGAACTAAAGAAAATAGTATGTTATATCTTTTAACCGATAAAATGTGAGTTTATTTTTTAGGATACCTTGAGTCGAGCACTCCGGCAATTTCAAAAATAATTAATTCAAACATGGTGCAAGATAACGAAAACGTTGTTGAGAAAATTAGTTGTACTAATCTATGATGGACTTCGTAATCCCTGAATAATTTCTTCACAAAGAACACCCATCCTCCTAAGAAGAAAATTACCTGAAATATATGGGAGATAAATAAACAGAAACTATTGTACAGAAAAGAGTCTATCTACATCAAGTAAGCTCTTTTTAAAAACAAATAACATATTGAAACATACATATAGATTCGACATTTTACTAAATAAATGGTAAAGCTTTACAATATGAAATTTATTGTGTTATTCTGAAAAATACATACATTTCACAATTCAGTTACAGTTTCATAAATATGTAATATCGTTACATATGCAGAAAAATAAATATGTCGTTTATAAATATGTAACATTGTGTTATATGCAGAAAAATCCATAGATATTAATAATCCGCAAAGAATCAATACTGATAGAGAGTATAGCAAGAAACCTTTTCAGAAATACAACTAAGAGAGAGATTTATATAATTTTATATTACGTTTTACATTAAAAACATCGTTAATAACGAAATAAACAATCGTTCACATTCTTCCGAAATACATGTATGAAACACCACTACTCTCTTTATAACCTTAATCAGTTCGGGAAGTATCGATAAATCTGATTTTTGTAGTGGAAACGAATTTCCACCTGTGTTACGAGAATCACGATAGTGTCCTCGATGAAACCCATTTTTCGCTATCGCGGTCTTCACTTCGCATTGCGAAGTTTTGACCGGCGATACTCAGCACTTTTGACAGGACGCAGGTGGTTCCAGACCAAACACAACGGACTTACGTTACGTCATACGACAGCCGACAGCGTAAAGGCTTGTCCAAATGAATTTTTATGGCGTGGCGCATGAGAGTCGATTAAGGTCTATCCAGACAAACTTGCATAGGTGCATAATCATATGCATAAAGAAACGGATTGGTCTATTTCGTTATGGTCATGCATATGGACCAATCAATTCTCTTATGCTTATGTTTATGGGCTTATGCAAGTTTGTGTGGATATAGCGGAGAGCACACACTTCTGCATAACGCATAATGCGTAAGCATAAGAAAATTGATTGGTCCATACACATGTGCATAAGGAAATACACCAATCAATTTTCTTATGCTTACGCATTATGCGTTATGCAAAAGTGTGTGCTCCCCGCTTTAAGCGTGAAACGTTCTCAAAGGCAGCCATCAGAGATGCACTGCTCAGCACTGCTAAACTGGACAAAGCCTTGGCTGCGTTCGGAAACGTCATCCGGGTACACACGGGTATACTCCCTTCTCCTTCTAACTCGCTGAGATAGAAAGAGAAGGGAGTATACTCGTGTGCACTCGGGTGACGTTTCCGAACGCAGCCCTTGGATGTGTGAAACGTGAATGGTCGTGGTCGGTGGTCGCTGGCGGATGGACACACTGGCCGCGTTCGTGGACGTATGTATTATTTCAATCCGGGCCGCAGGGGGAAGTGATCCGCGCAGTTCCTTGGGCCTAACGCACTTACGGCATTACCGAGTTCAAGACACCGCGGACATGCACGAACAATTATACATACACTCATACACTTACACAGTTTCTTAACTTTTGCTTGGGACGCTTTTATTGAGCGTTCATGTTAATCTAGTCATAGTTCCTTTGTTTTGATGTGATACAACTAGTTTCGGTTTTGCTACTATGGCCACATGGGCTACCCCCACGGTCTTTCCTTTATTTGATAAAAAAAAAAAAAAAAAAAAAAAAAAAAAAAAAA